GGGGGGGGGGGGGGGGGGGGGGGGGGGGGGGGGGGGGGGGGGGGGGGGGGGGGGGGGGGTCATACTCTGCATGCATTATCGGTTTTATGCTCCAAAAGTCCTCTCTGTTCCCTTCTGTTTGAAGAGTCTGCGCTTGGTCGCCCAAAAGAAGTACGAAAAAATAAAAGCGTACGCTAGGTACGTGTGCCTTGTTGTGTGAACGTTGCTAGAAATCGTTTGGAACATTCCCAGAACCGGTCTTCATAATACCATCGAGAGAGAGCGGGGCACTGTTCCCCCAGAACCAGAGGGCAACTTGGTGAATGATGCCTCCCTAAATGTGGCAACCGAACCATGTAACGAGTTCCGGGAGTGCCTTCGGCTTACAACATCCTCCGGTTTCGACGACGATCGCGGCGTTGCCGGGGGTACGGCAACAAGATCCCCGGCAATCTCAGAGACCCTGCGCTGCCCTTCGTCCATTCGTCCTTGTGCATGCGGTATGTAATACATGGAAGAATACAGCAGTAGCGGTTCCCGGTATGGTGTCGGTTGCCCTGTGTAATGCCGGTGAAATCGCCTGGCACAGACAATGGGATTGAATGCCGGGACCACGAAATAAAAACGAAGAAAAAAGCCCCGGTGTTTACCCCCTCCTGTGTGACCCTGGATGTTGTTGTTTTTTTTTGTCTCCCATCATTGGATTCTGTCGACTGCCCCTCTGGCCCCTATCCTCCACTTCTACTAGCTAGACGACCCAACCGGGGTCACACAGGAGGGGAGGGTTGGACCCCGTCCTGCGGTTCCTGCCCGAGATATTTTTATCGCGAGAAGGGTACAGCAATCCCTTCCCTCGCCACTGATGAAGTCGATCAAGTTTACCAACAACGGATGGTTGTAGTTGTACGAAAACTACGCTGGAAAGTGTAGTACACGCCTCACCACGAAAATGGGGGGACTGTATTTGTAGCCATGATAAATACCACGAAAGAGAAAAAAACAAGTGTACCTCGATGTTCTTTTCCGTCATCTCCCCCTCAAAACCCTCCCGCATCGTCAGCAGCGCCGTGTGTACGGCATCATCTAGCTCGGCTTCCTCGGAGAACCTGAAATAAACAAACAAAATGTATAGGTGTGAGTGCGTATTTGTTTTTATTTTCAGCGTCGACCGCGCTGCTAACCGGCTGACTAATGAAAATACGTCAGTGTCAGTGCGCTTTGAACGCACAAAATGCTTGTAAAGCCTACCGCCATGGTCTGGTACTCCGTGAGGGGAGGCAATGCTACTCTCCGGAATAACGACAGATGCCGTGTGTGATGTGCGCGTCGATGCTAACAGGATCGACCGTACAGTACACACCCGCTGACCAATGAGAAGAAGACCCCAGCCGGTAGCGGCAACAAAACTCTACTTTATTTTGTTCATCAGTTTTTCAGGTGTCGATAACCACTACAGCAAGGTCTCAACACATCCATTTTGGATGTGTGTTCTGTTTTCGTGTTGAGGTAATTAATATTTTCAGTAATGGGGACGCAGGATTTCGAAACCATTGCGGCACGTTTTTCCAGGCCCGTCCGTTGTTGACAATCGGTCACCTACGGTCTCGACAGTACATGTTACCCGTCGAGGGTTCGGCAGTTGTTCACGCGGTTGCCGGGGTTCGCAACACGCGCACCGGGTAAACAGGGTCCTTCAGAGCTCCCTCGAGATCGAATACAAAGAGCCATCGTTAACAGGGCGCGCTATTTTTGTCCGAATGTTTTTCAACTTTATTGGTGCTTCCAAAGCCAGTGTTCCAACGATTTTGGACCCTGTGTACAAATTTTCGGAAACACTTGTACATTTTTTTTGAAGTTTTCGATGGCTTACACAATTGTGGAAGTACCAAATTTAGAAATAAAAAAACAGCCATATGATAAAAGAGGCCCTAAACGTGCGCTTTCGCGGCCTGTCAACAAAGCACAAGCACATTAACCCACCGCTTCTCCAAGAAGTTTTTTGCGTTGACGAAGTTCTTGCCGATGGCCGTCGCCTTCCAGCCGAAGTAAGCACCGGAAGGATCCACCTGATTGGTCAATGGCAAAAGAATAAATTACAGTCCTGTGACAGTCCAGAAAACATTGTTAGCGCTGCTGTTGATGTTCAACCCGATTGTAGGGTGAGAGGATGAAGCCGCGAATCCATCAAGAATTCGTTTTTGTCTTCGAAAAAAAAGAAAAGGGATCTACCTGGTTGGCCATCGGCGAATGAATAAATTACAGTCCAGTGTCGTTGCAAGTCCAGTGCAGCAGGTGGCCCGACGCAGTCGCATGTAGGGGCAAGAGGAGAATATTAGCACTATTCAGGGCAGTGCCACCATTCCATGTATTGGGTTTAGTAACACTTTGAGGTTGTGACGGAGAGGATTTGCTGCCACTACCGTATATGAAACAAGATAACACACACCCCGGACCGGTTTTCAAAGCTCGATTACTCCACAAAGAGGATGCATAAACGAAACGATACATGTTCGAAAACCTCTCGAAGTAACGGTTTTAACGCCGCCGCCGTTTTCCGCGCTGGGACTGTTCCTGCAGTTGAGAAATCGAGCTTCGAATATCGGTCAAGGGGGTGTGTTATCTTGTGTCATATACGGTACATGGGGCCACCTGCTGAAATATTGTTGGTGCTGTCGTTGTTGTGTTCAACCCAATTGTAAGAGTGAGAGAATCATGACGCGAATCGATCAAGTACTTGCTGTCATCTTCGCAGAACGAAACGTCCCGGTCTCCGCTGAGTACCTTCAAATACCCATAGTGGTGGTCCAACTGATGCGGACGGCTTCTTTTCCGTGGTCTCAGACCAATTACCCAACAAAAGGTACATCCTTCAACGAATAAAAACGAAGCGAGCCCAGTGACCAGCCCGTTGTGGGTGTCGCCACTTGCTACTGTGAAGAAATTCAACATAACCCTTCGATTGGTGCCTTGTCTCAGACGGCGTTGCAGTCTCAATACAGCCGTGTGGTGGTATGAAAATTGTGTACTTCTTTGTTTGCACCACCACCAATAGCAGCAACAACAGCAACAACCACACCTGGTAGAGCTGCGGTCCGTCGTCGTCATAGCCCGCCACAAGCAGCGATACCCCGAACGGCCGGACTCCTCCCCTCTGCGTGTACTCCTGCATCACCCCTGCCGTATCCCGCACCAGCTGCCCCACTGGCTGAACCTGTCGTGTCGTGCCACGTCAAAAGCCGCGCGGGCAAAATGGCGTTAATTTTTTAAAAGCAAATTATCCCGGCTGCTTCAATCGCCATGTGCACACCGTGCTTTTGAGACTTGGCGTCAGAACACATGGGGACGAAAAAGACAAACAGCCAACCAACGTGCACCACAACGAGCAGGTACTCTCTTTCCCTCTCTCTCTCTGTCTCTCTCTCTCTCTAGCGCGCGCGCCGTCGCTCTCTTTCTCGCTTCGCATATCGCTACTAACATCAGCAAACAACAGCAGCAGTCTCAACAAACAAACGCAGGAAGCGTGCCTACCGCCCCCTGCAAGTCACCGCCCAAACCCGGCCATGTCTCCCTCAGAAAAGTGGGTGCTACTGTACTACGACGACGTATGTTCGCGTCACCGACTGCCCGTAAATGTCGGAGAGATGGCACCCCCGTGTTCGCGCAAGTTGTTTATCGTATATCTCTACAACAAGGGAGTGACACTGCCGAAAAGGGCACGGTAGTTTTGGAATCATCTTGTCGAGGGCTTCCCTGAGAGGTACCGGTTGGTGTTCGCCCCTCCTAGTTGTGGACAAATACGCTATACATGATATTCGCTAATACCGTGGTGCCATCTCTCCGACTCTTACGGTACCAACCTCCCGATATATATTGGATAGTCAATGACTTTCATCTCCTTCTCAACCTCCCCGTATCAACTACGTGGGATACAGTGCACACCCTGGACCGACTTTCAAAGCTCTTCGAATACTCCACACGACCAAGAGGATGCCGAAGGCAAACCATGCGTGTTCGCAAAGCTCTCGACGCGACGGTTCCAACTCCGCCATTTCCGGCATCGTCACTGCTTTCCATGCCGAGCAATCAAGCCTTGACAATGGTCCAGGGGGTGTGATGTCTTACGCAACGGTCTGTGCTTCCGATTCCGACTGCAGCAGGGAGCCACACTTAGCGCCCCAGATAATTTGACCCGCACCACTATAGCAACGTTCACGTGCGTGACGTCACAAATAGTGATGTCACCCCCCCCACACACACACCAGACTAACTAACCTCCCCGTACAAATTCACGTGTGGGGCATCAAAACTGTGGCGTTGTTCCCTACAGCTAAATACACAACACACAAAGAATGCTCTAACTCCCCGTACATGTAGTAGGCCTGGGCCTGCTTGATCCCCACCGCCAAAGACATACACCGAAAACACTAGCCTCCCGGTATATGTTGTAGGAGGCCTGGGCCTGCTTGTTGCCCACCACTAAAAACACGCACACAACAAACACTAGCCTCCCGGTTATGATGCAGTAGGCCTGGACCTGCTTGTTGTTCCCCACCACTAAAAAACGTGCACATGCAAGCTACTGACCTCCCGGTATATGTTGTAGTAGGCCTGGGCCTGCTTGCGGCTCTTTCGGGCGAGCACCCGGTAGTCCGGTCCCAGGCCCGAATAGACGAAACCAGTGGAGGGGGTCACCAGGGAGATCTTGGACACCTCGTCGCTGTCGATCAGGACCGACGGGAGCTTCTTCTCAGTCACGATCACCACGCCGTTCGTCGCTGCGGAGACATCCGGTTCGTGGGGAGTAGGCGGGGGTCAAGGGCTTGTTTTTTTTTTAACGGGGGGGGGGGGGGGG